GGCGGCGCTGCGGCTGCGGGAGGGCCTGCGCGGGATGGGAGATGCTGTGCGGGACGGGCGGCCCGGGCGCGGCGGGGCCGTGTGGGTGCGGAGCGAGGGCGGTGCCCCGCCCGGTTCAGCGGCCCCGGCGCCCTCGATGCCCAGCGGCTGCACCGTGTGCCGGCCCCCCGAGCCACCGCCCCTCACCTGGATCAGCCCGGAGCCTGACTGGCCGTCATTTGACCGGGTTTCAGTTCAGGAGCGGCCCCTTTACGTGCAGAAGGCAGTGTGAGCTGTGACTCGGCGCTCTGGTTCGAGCTGAGGGTGCCGCTGAGCTCTGCCCCTGGCCCGGCCTCCCACCCTGCTGAGCGGCAACGGGCCACGGTGTTCACTCCGGAGTTGACGAAGCTCCGGTTCCGTGAGAAAACAGGAAAATGCACATGCTGATTTTCCCAGGGATGTTCTTCTGGGGAAATCCAGAGCGTGATGCACTGAAACCATGGGTAGTTTTAAGATGAATTCCATGGCTGTAACGAATTTATTTACTGGCTGTTGATATTACTGACAGGCTAGTTCACTTTGCTGCAGTCTGGTATTCTTGATGGTTTCTTTTGGGGGGGGTGGGTTGACATTTCATTTAGAAAATAAGCCAAGAAATAAGCTAATGAAGAAAGAGGAGGATGGAACAAAGACAATAATCAGGAAAACCAAAGGGATGGGTTCATTACTTTCACAAGTCCTATAACCTACAAAAGTGCAGAATGGGTAAAAATACACTGATTACAAACATTCTTCTTTAGAAGAGCTTTTGTTCTCCATTAAAATAGGCAGTTACTTTATTTTAAAAATCTGGTTTTGTCCTGAGTAGCAAAATACATCAAAAGACCTTTTTTCCTACTCACCCATCATGTTGTGAATTATTTATTCAGTATTTTTTTTCTAAATATATTTTCTCTTTGGAGACATTCTGTAAATGGGACTGCATTCTTTTTATAGTGTAAGGAAGCAGTTAATTTTTTGTTACCACTTACAGTAAGAATAAAACATAATATTGGTAATAACAATAAAAACACTGACATCTAAGCACAATACAGAACCATGTAATCTGGCAATCAAATAATATAGTTTACAGGAATAGAAAGACATTAGATGGTTACTGTATATGAATGCACGATTTGAGCAAGGCTCACAGGAGAATATTTGTAATTTATGCCCTTAAGCTGCAGTCACTTGACAGCATCAATATTTAGTTTCACATAAAAAAAAATTAATTGTGCCAAATATTGATAAAAGTATTGTATTCCTATTTGTTACTGCATAATAGGAGTGTCTAATGCTTATTAAGCCATTAAATCTACAGATCAAGGCAAGACCCCTACAAGAGTGTAATCTTCAGGAGAGACTAAAAGGTCCCTTTTAAAAGATTTGCCTTCAAGAAATGGTGTTATAAGAAGGGCAAAAGCACTGGCAACCTGCATCAAGAAATGGATTTGTTTTCCTAAACCAGAAAATCCTTTATCTTTCAGTAAAATGCAGAGTTATGCTGAATTATGTGCAAAGCTCTTCCCCAAGACCTGGTGCAGCTCAGCACAGACAAATTCTGCAGCTGCAGGGAAAATGTCTGAGGCCTCAACAGACTGATCTGGAGGTGGCCCCACAGTGATCACCCTCTGATTGAAGGGTAGCAGAGGAAGCTCAGCACACAGTTGGAAAAGGCACAGAGTTGGTGGCTGCCAGGCTCTAAATTCCACTGGATTAAACATGAGCAGGTTTTTTGAGAGCACGCTTGATGTGAAAGTTTTGGTTTGCACGGATTAAAAAAGAAGGAATCAATCTCCTGTCTGCTACTACAATATGCACCTCACTTCAAAGCAATCTTCAAGGACATTATTCCTCAGGTTGACACATACATGAGATAGTCACAGCATGGTGAAAAAAGGTCAGACTACCCCTAGACAGCACAGTCCAGATGAAAGCAGGAGGCAGGACTCCCTCAGTTTAAGGGATTACACTCAATTACACTGGCAGGGTTTCATTGGTATGGTGCCAAGAGAGCTTAGAAAAGAATTTGACCCCAGATCTCTGAGAAAAGAGATTTCCAAAGAAGCAGCAACTTGAAATTTTCTGACGAGCTCAGACCTTTTTGTGCTGCCACTGATAGTACCACTTAAAATGGAAGCAATTCCCTGCTTCTCTCCATAATTTTGGTAAAAGGCTGATATTACAGAAGCAGAAAAATCCTTCTTTCCCTTGGCCAGGAAGTCTAATCGTTTACAGCCTTTCATTCTACCTGAAAGAGTTTTAAAAAATCCTTCTTTCCAGTCCACTGGCCAATGTGTACAGAACAGGTTCTTCAATTTTATTTCTCTTTCCTAGTACTGAGAAGTTATGAAATGGATTGCAAACAATTTTTAAATTTTTTTTCCTAGGATTTGGAATCCAAGTAATCATAAGGTTGGTTTTTGGTTTTTTTTTTGGTTTTTTTGTTTGTTTTGTTTTGGGGTTTTTTTTGGTTTTTTTTTTTTTTTTTTTTTTTTTTTTTTTTTTTTTTTTTTTTTTTTTTTTTTTTTTTTTTTTTTTTTTTTTTTTTTTTAATTTTATTTTTAGTATTTTGTAAGCACTTGCTTTAGAGATAGAGCTAGCTGGGAGCTCCACAGCTGACTGCAAGAAAAGTCACACAAAGTGTGGAGCTGAAAAATACATAGATCATAATGGTTATGTCTGAATGGCCCACAAATGTCCATAAAACAGATCTGTAAAAAACCTGCTCTATTCTGGCATCTCCAGCAACACAATCACAGAGTAAACTGCAAATGATATGATTGAGCCTTTCATATCCTCATGCAGACAAAGGAAGCAGCACATGGGAGCTCAGCATCACTGAACAAACATGTAAAAAACAATCCTTTGCAACAATTACTCTGCAAGTGAGGGCTCTGAGATCAGTCTTCCTTTCCCTAGTATTCATATGAGACTTCACTGAAGGACAGCTTTTAGCACATAGTGTCAGGTTTGACCTTCAAGAGATCTGTCCTAATTTAGATTTATTTTCTTACATTGCACATAGAGGAATATGACACAAACACAAGAATATAAAATTCAGTTGTTCTGATGTTTGTTTCGTATTGCATAAAAGATGCAATGTGGACATGCTGACTGAAGTCTGGAAAAACATCCTTCAAGGGTTTTTTTTAGACTATCTCATCATCACTGAATTTAATTAATGATTTGAAATTAATGGATCAATGAGTTGGAATTAATGGGTTGGAAGTCAATTGTATTTACATCCCTAACATGAGCTCCAGCTGCTTATAATTTATGCTTTGGGGCAGAGCAGTCTGGCAGATGGATACTAAATTGTGTTTGACCAGGAATTTCAAAAGACCTGGAGCCAGCAAAGTCATATGCTGAAACAGGAAAACTCTAGGTGCAACCTGCCAAGGTTTTAATTAGGAGGTGGCTCTGAATAAGTGGTATTTTAGATGTGACTTGGACAGGGCAGGTAAATGTGAGCAACAGACATCAGAACCCCACTACTTACAACAACAAGAAGAGTCTGGCCTCTCCCGTGGTGTCATCAAGCCAAAACCTGCACTTAGAGTGACAGAGGAGTCACTAACATATGGTGACCTAATTTTGTGGCAAATACCATGAACCAAAGCATTAGCAAGGCACCCCTCAGTGCTCTTTCTCCTTGAGAACCTAATATAGATGCTCTGCATCACATGTGAGCTTGTGCTTGGTGGAATCTGTGGTGGATTATGGTAAGAGCCTTCCTGCAGCTGCCAGGAGCTGCCAGCTGCACCCAGCGTGTGGAGAGGATAAACAGCATCTCCCCAGAGAGTGGGGGGGAACCTCAGCTTGTACAGCCAGTCTTAGCACGAGAAATTATTTCATTGCTCCCACTGGCATGCAGACTTAACCAGTTCCTGTCACTCACCACACATCCCTGCCATGGGGCCTGCAGGCTGTGAGAAGGGCTATGCTGTCCTGCTTAGCTGACTCATTTCATTTACAAAGAATACTTAGAGGAAATACTTAGAGAACTGCAGTTGTGTTCTGCAGAAGTGGGTGTCACCTGTTGGTTTCTTTCCATGGTATATATATGCTGGCATGTAAATTAAATAAATCAGTGTTCTGTGGAATAGGACTATAACACGATTAAAGAAAAAAATTAATTAATCAGTCTTTACTTTTCCAGTATTGTTTGCTGCTCTGGAAATAGTCTGCAGAGCTGCCTTCCAGATGGGCTTGTTCAAACTCCTGCACAAGAAAGAAGAACTCTTTAAATAGGAAATATGAATGGCATACAAAGCATTAGATCTTCACCTGACTGAAGCTGGGCCAGTAGCTAGGAGACTTCAGTCACTCGCCTTTTGGACTGAGTTTCACTTTTTAAAAGAATTGAATATTTAGCAAAAGCTTAACAAGACTGGAGAGTCCCTATAACCAGTATAGGGGAATACAGATCACAGTGCCTTCCCTTGACAGCTGCTGCTCTTGCACAAATAGACTCTGATTAGCACGGTCAGCATCCAGTTCATTCAGCGATGTGACAGAAGAATAATTTTCCTAAAGAGCAGTAAGCAGCAGAGTGACATTTTACTTCCAAAAATTTAAAGTCTGAGCTGTCAAATAGAAATCTACATAGAAGCCAGTAAGGCTGAGAAGTTACAACCATTCCAGAGAATGTATTGGCAGGATTCTGTAATATAATAATTAATCAAGGCAATATTCAAAAATACATGAAATAAATTTCTGGTGCTTAGTAGGGAGAGGCTTTTACTAACAGTCAAATTTTCAGGCAGGCAAGATCTTTCTCAGGTCCAGCAAAAAGACTGTCTCTCCCTATGAACTTTATCTTGTTTAAACTAAAAACATCACAGCTACAGCACCACACTGGATTCACAAGAAACAGCTGAATGACTGAAAAAGCAAAAACAATAAAAAAGGAAATCAATAGCAATGAAACTTTGTTTGAAGATGCTCAACAATAGCACTTACATGGTT